TTAAAACGTGGCTGACTGGTGTAAGCATTCACTATCTGTGCTAAGGATCTTTCAATACACAACTTTGTTCAGGTGATTGCATAGCATAGCTATAAAAACACCCAATAAGACACAAAAACAATTTTTGGTTGAGAAGTTTCTGCTGAGATTTAGCCTGCAGCATATCTTTAGAAGCAGCTAGAAACTGAACATTTCCATTACAAACAGAAAGCAAAGGAGGCAGCAGTTTGAGGGCTATGCAATTATAGGGAAATGTCTTCCCCTCTTTGAATAGCCAAAAATGATTTTGCAGCAGTGTCCAGAATTTGCTTCCTATGACGTTTGGTGAATTGAAAATAAAACCAAACCAAACCAAACGACTGAGGTACAGATGTTATAAAACTGCCTACAAGCAAAACCTATTTCCTTTCCCCTCTCCCTTGGATAATTGTTCCAATTTTTCCTCCAGCTGAATTCAGATTGTGTTTCTGCATAACAAATGAGAGCAGCTTCATGGTATTGACTAAATAATAGATGCTTGATCATATACTTCCTAGAAGAGATGAGAAAAATGTCCAGAAACAATACTGAAAGTGTTAAGAAAAAAAAAAACTGGCAGAAGAGTCTCACACTCAAATTTGTGCCTAATGTCAATTATTCTCATGATCTAAAACACCTGCAGCGAACTCATGTTTTCCTAACAGCGAAGTGCCTTGCAAACTGGCAATTCCAATTTTACAATGGTGGTTTTAGAAGATTTGTCCAAGGTTCTTACAAGAAATTTCAGTTACCAGCAAAATTCTGCAGCAGTGGGACCCCAGCTGCTGCAGAGGGCTTATACATGGGCTGTTAATGTTCGCCATTTAACTTCTTTTCCCCAGGTATCTTCCCCATAACTACAAAACAAAGCTGCTTTCCTGACACACAGATGTTTTTATGGACTCTTTAGAGACACATGCTGATTGAACCACATGCTAGAGGACTGCCTCACTGGGTGAATGTCCATGGAATTTATAGGTAATAATCTACCAGGTCTGGTTTTAATGCTTTATTTACAGGTTTTCTACAGATATTACAAGACACATAAAAACTGCAAACTAGAACTACAAATAGGCTCTGAGCACTCTGATCTAGCTATAGATGTCTCTGTTCATTGCAAGTTGGCCCTTCCAAATCCCTTCCAACTCAAATGATTCTATCATTCTATGATTCTATGAAATAGTTATATTGAAGTTTAGAATCCATTTCTATTCAATCTTCTCAGTTTGCACAGAAAACTGCATTTTATCATATGAATCAACCTATCATTTGTTACAACCAAGCCTGGTGATCCTCACAGAGGAGGAGTACTGGGACTCTGGGGCTCTGCACTCCCTCACATGCTGTGGAAAGAAGCCGAAAGCAGCCTGGCCAAGTGTGAGGATGTAGACCTGCCATTATCTCCAAGGAAGGAAACAAAACTTTCCTGATGAATAGCTTGGGAAAAATCAGGAAAAATCAAGAAAGGACAAATGGAATTTCAGAGGAACGGAGAGTGCAAAAGCAAGGGTAAAAGAAAACATGTCAGGAATGAGTCTAGAAGGTGAGTAAAATCAATGTGCCTTTGTGCTTCTAAATAAAAAGAAAGACTGGGGATAAAAAAGATTTTAAGTGTCTGAAGTGTGCAGTTCTCAGGGTGTGGCTCCCACTGAGAAAATGGGATTTTTTTAATTAAGTGTTACCATAAACTAAGCGTTAGCACAGACCATACTTTCATATTGGGCACAAACTCAGTCATCCAGATTTTATAAAACACTTAATAATATCTCAGCTTCGCTTAAAGCAGTAAAGTCTGGCTTGATTTATTCACTCAACTTTTCCTGCTGATAGGCCCAAAACCACTCACAGGAACCCAAGCCTGGAAGTGGACTCCTCCAGTCTCTCAAGATTAGATCCCACATCAGGATAAATCTTGTCACAAATTGATGAAGTCCATCTAAAAATAGTTAAGATTTACATCCCCATTGCTGTGACGAAAGGCAGCTCCCGAGCCCCCTCCCTTGCTGCTGGAAATCATCCAGTTTCCAAAGAGTGCACATTGTTGACCAGTTCCTGCCTGCTAGTTTGAGAGAGAAGTGAAAATGGCTCTCTTTCTGAAGGGAACAAGCTTTAGTTTTAGGACAGGGAGTGACAGGATTTAGTTTTTGCTATAGATGAAGTTACAATCGTCTGATGAGAAGGATGTATGGTAAATAATGAATCTGCCATAAGTCTGTTGCTGGGAAGCCTTTAACAGCACACTCTGATGAGAAACAGTGGCACTGTAACAACATTTGGTTTGGCTGCTGAGGATGCATTTCTGCAAAAGACACATGGTCTGTTTGTTGTTCATTTGAAGAAACATCAGCTCCTGGTCCATATCAGAAGCCAAAAATGACATTCATTTTTCCTTTCTTGTGACAGCGTTGGGGCTTTTTTGTTTGTTTCCTGAGACGATATATGCTTTTTTAAAAAGTTAGTGTTTGTTTCTAGTTTCAACAAACACATGTTAATTAGAACAATTGGTTTTGATGTACCCCTTAATAAAAATTGAGTAACTTTAACCTCCTTCTCTTCTTTGTTTTTCAAAGTTCACATGATTTGGCATAAAACTCCCCAGGCTTCTCTTGCTGGGTTTTAATCTCTGAAAATATAAACCAGCACTAAAATAATTTTAAATTAGGTAATGTTAATCTAGCAGATTTTACAGTGCACTACCTATATTTTTAAATGCCTGAAAATGGCATTAACTATATTTTACATATTTATCTGTAATATATTGTATCAAAAAAGAAGAAAACTGTGAGACCTCCCCTATAAAACTAACTGCCTGCTCAGTTTCAACCAGTTAATGAGTTCAAATGGCAACACTAATACAATCATTGGAAACTTAGGCTTTTCTAAAGATTTTCTGATTTTATATTTTTAATATTAACGTTACAACAGCATATTGTTTGTTTCATTCTCTATTTTTGTTTGGTGATTTTTGGTATAGAAGAAGCACAAAGAAGAAGAGCACACTGAATTTTAAATTCTAGGTAAGCCTCAGCATCTCGAGTGTTTGAGATATACGCATCATATCTGAAGTTTTCACATAGTTCTGGAAAAAACAGATAGCCTCAGAGTTTACTTCTACATCCCCACTTGCCTGATTTCCAGTGATGCTTAGGTCCAGGGTTTTGATTGAAGCTCATTTCTTAATATTCAGCTAATTTAAATGCTAATTAGACTAATTTGAAGAATAAGACGTGGTAGGAATTTATTAACATCTTTGCTGCTATTTCTTTACATCTACAGAGAAATTTTCTAAAACAGGACTCAAGGGGCAGTAGCACATCTGTTACAAGTTGAACAAGTTGGATTTTTTTGTAATAGCAAATCTTACAGCTGGAAATACAATGCAGAGGAGGAGGAACAATTTAAATTTTCTGTATCTAGCACATCTTGGATATATGCCATTAATGTAGAGGAGGCTTTATGCTGTCCTGGGCTCATCTGCTTCATACTTTTTGCTCTGAGTTTTATACTTATATTGGAAGAAAATGTGTCTCATCTCTGTCTCATTATCTGCAACAGTCATCCCATCTGATGCCACATTTATTCTGTATGATGTTATTGCTGTGTATTATAAAGAGCTCAAATCCACTACCTCAAGTCTAATCTTGTGATAACTTTCATGGTTTTGTAGAGCCCCACTCTACAGAGTGGCTCTACAGGGGTGACAGGCCAACCATCTGGTAGAAAAATGGTTGCAGTGATCTCTTTGGAATATCAGTCTTGTGTTTTTTAGTTTGTTTATTGTTGTTGTTTGTTTTTATTGCTCCAACATCTGCCATTGCCACTGTCTGTAAGTATGCATCTTTTAAGACACGACTTTGAATCTACTCACAAGCAACAATTGCTCTTGGGCCTAGTTAGGTAACTGAATTTTGACCCGAAAAAGAAGTCCTACAGAGATCTGGCAGGTGGCTGTGTTAAGGCAATGTATGTCAGAATTAACTTTCTGCCCATCATACTTCTGTCTCAAAGCTCTGGGTTGAGACTACCTTCCTCACCCAAATTCCTGAGGACTATTCTCCAGGTAATGCTGACAAAGAACTTGGCTTCCTTTTGCATGTATAGACAGCCATACTCAACACTACTATTATTATTATATGCAGCTAGGCATATGCTGCATACTCTTCTCTGAATAAATAAGGTTGCTGCAGTAATCATAATGCAGGCAGGAATGAAATGTTCCTGTGTTGAAGCCTGTCAACAGACAGTATTGTAATGCAAACAAAACCCCAATATACTTTAAGAAGCTGAGAAGGTCTCATAGAGTTGGAAAATGTAAAAAGAGAACTGCTAAAACAGAGTCTGTTTTGGACTCTCTTTTCTTCCTATGCAAGCTCGCATTGTTAAATTAGTCTGTGATAATTTTAATTTGCACATAGAGCAGCAGTCCCCACAGGGCCATCTCAAGTATCCTCTAGATTTGGAGGTAATTTGAATCCAGGTCCTTCCTTACTGTGCTATCCTCAGGCAACTCAAAGACTTGTAGGCATCTTTATTCTTTGGAAGAAAAATATATTTCTTACATGACTTTTGAAGGCCACATCTGTATTTAGATACTTAATTCTGATTTTAAAAGTAATCAGTGGCAGACAGAATGCATTGTGGGTCTGGGCCCTACTATTTCTTTGCCTTAGTTTGCCATCAGTACCTATTATTCTGCCTTGCAAAGGAGCCAAGCAGATAAGCATTCTACAGATATTGAGTGGTGTACCCAAGTTTAGCAGTGTTGATGGTCAAGCAAACATAAAATCGTAATTTAAAGGGAACAAGAATGAATGTAAAGAGGATTAGCTATAATGGGAATACCATTTAACAGTGAAAAAGTTCTGTTTATCACGACCTTAATTTAGTTTTGCACTTGTTATGATTTTGTTTAAAACTTTTCTGACAGCTCAAAGTGAATGTAATTCAGTTTACAAGTTTTTCAAATGCAGGTCAGTACTCACTTCTACATGTTGACAGGTCTGAATGAGTTTTGCCAGAAGAGTTTCCAGTTCAGTATTCCTCTTAATAAGGTTGGTGAGGTTACTCTCCAAATTTTGCTGTCCATAAGAAAGAAAAAACAAATTAGTATTTTGAAGAATTTAATGCTAAGGGAAACAGTTGAAAAGGGGTATATTTTCATAATCTGAATTATGCAATGACAAAGGTATAAACGTGACATTCATTTTGGCAGAAAAAGACAAAAAAGCAGAAAGTTCAAGGTAAGTGTCAGTTCATAAAAAAATAGTTTTCAGAGGACCTACTGAAAATGAGGTTAAGATTTAGTCAGGGACAGAAGCAGAGGATTAAGGAGAAAAGCAGGAAGGTGAAAATACTTTGCCAATTAAAAAAATGAAACTTTGTCTGAGACCATTTATTTTGTTCCCTGCTCTCAGTCTAACAGCTGAATTTAAAAACCTGCTGCTAAATGAGGCCTTCTAGCACGTCCTCCTTTGGGACTGAACTTGTAAGGGCCCAGCAGTGTGTCAGCACTTGCTCCTTGGAATTCACAGTGCTGAGGGAGGGGGTTAATCTAAACGATTTAATTCTCTACTTCCCTGGAGTCTGATTTTTGAATAAATAAATCTAAAGAAAGCCACCATAGCCAGGTACAAGAAGGAAGTATCTACGCACTGATTGTGCCTTCACTAATTATTCTTTAGAGACCATATGTGGCTTGTGCCTGTGTTTATCTGCTGATTACAGCCACAAATAAGCATCTCACAATTTGTGAGCTTGGAGCTTTCTACCTCTCAGGCTACATCCTGGCTGCTGTGCAACTGCATGTCAGATTGAGATCCTGAAACAAATGGTGTAGCCTCCTCCCTCCCTGCTGTACCACAGGAAGGAAATCCAAGCTTGAGTGGTCATGGTGGCTGTGATCTACTTCCTGATCTGGCTGCTCTGGGACCAGGACCATGCAGTGTCCTGTGGGACCAGCAACTACTGGCTCTTTGCTTTTCAATGTACATCCTGTGGTAGCTGTTTGTTTACATATAAGTCCATCTTCTGGAAGCATAAAATGCAAAGTTTCCAGACAGACAGAAAATCCTGTAAATATAACTTCAGTTAACAGACTGGGAAAAAAAGATAATGAAAAAAAAACAGTCCTGGCTGTAAATACTCATATGTTCTAGTAACTTCATATACATGCATTTCGTATTGAAAACACTGAGGATAGCTGATGCGTGAAGCTTTTCCTCATAGCTGTTTTTCTATTTTTCCTATTTAAATGTAAATCCTTTACAACCATACAGTCCCTTATAACCTTTGCCTTCTAATTGTACGATGTCCTCCAAGAAGTCCCCACTAAAGCAATCTAGACAGTGCTAAACAAGAGTATCAGAACCGAGCCCTTCCCATAAGGGCCACAGTGTCTCTGCAGAGCTCTAATTAATTTCACCCCTGCTCATCTTTTTATTAATGGGTTTCCCTTCTCCACACTACTACTTTTCTCCCCAGTATATCTTTTTGGTCACTGAAGGCCCTTCAGCTGCCACTACCATATTCTCATCCTTCCTTCTTGATGACACCAAGCTGAGTGGTGCAGTTGACATGCTAGAGGGAAGGGATGCTATACACAGGGACCTGGACAGGCTTGAGAGGAGGGCCCACGCCAACCTCATGGAGTTCAACAAGTCCAAGTGCAAAGTCCTACTCCTGGGTTGGGGCAATCCTAAGCACAAATACATTCTATGCAGAGAATGACTTGAGAGCAGCCCTGAGAAGGATTTTTGGATGTCAGCTGATGAAAGACTCAAGATCATCTGGCAAGGTGTGCTTGCAGCCCAGAAGGCCAACTGTATCCTAGGTTGCATCAAGAGAAGTGTAACCAGCAGGTCAAGGGAGGTGATTCTGCCCCTCTACTCTGCTCTTGTGAGACCCTGAGGTGGGGGGGGACTTTATAAGGGCATGCAATGATAGGACAAGAGGAAATTGCGTTAAATAGGAAGAGGGTAGGTTAAATAGGAAGATTTAGGCTAGATATTAGGAAGAAATTCTGTAATGTCAGGGTAGTGAGAATTGGAACAGGTTGCCCAGAGAAGTTGTGGATGCCTCCTCCCTGGAAGCATTCAAGGCCAGATGGGCCTGTGAGCAACGTAGTCTAGTGTGAGGTGTCCCTGCCTATAGCAGGGGTTGGAACTAGGTGATCCTATAGGGCGCTTCAAACTCAAACCATTCTTTGATTCTATTCTATGATCCTCCTATATCCCCAATGTCTCTGTGTACATATTTCAAATGAGTGTGCTTGTTTTCTGGCACTGTTCCTGACTATTTCACACTGTTTCAAAACACTCTTTTCTCTGCTCTCCCTCTATGCAGCCACGCAGTCTTTTGACTCCTTGTATTTAGCTACAACTGAATGAAGCTGGCAGTATTTCACTGCTGAACCATACACACTTTGGCATTTACCAGAGCTGATGCTGTAAACACTGGAGGAGCACTGTCCCATTAAAGAAAGTACAGGATTTAGATGCCTTTATGTATGTAAGTCATCAGAGCCATGATTAGTGTTTTTAACTTTGGCATTTTCTTCCCAGCACAACCTTGTCTATCACGTATCACAAGCTCTGGCTGTAAAAAATGCTTTCTACACTGCATTTATTTTATAGCTCATTAAAAACAAAGTGTAACAAGAACAGCAATTCTTTACAGAACAGTTTGAATTGTATCTTACATATTTCCATAAGCTGTAATGTGAATGATCATTTAATTGCAAAGTCATGTTTGCCATGCTGTTAGATGGCCATCTACAGAGTTGAGACTCATATGCAAAGTCTAAAAACCATATACAATTACAGCATCAGATAACCTTTGTCTTTAGAACAGTTTGTTAAAGGGATCCAAAGGTGGAAGTACTCTTGAAATCATAATTATGTGTTCTCTTATTGCCTATATACTTATTGAGTACCTGATACAAAAGAATTAAGGTGAAAACTGTATATTCCTGGCAGCATTTAATTTCAAATGTATTGCTGGACATTATAAATGCTAAATGTTGGGGCAAATACATACTACAATAAAAAACTGTTCTCAAAACTGTTAGGGAATACTATCGTGATTTATAAAAGCTTGAAAGTTTCTTATACAAAGGCTATTAGTACATGAAAAGTAAGCATTTTTCACTGAAACAGAAATTTATTTACCTACAGATTTTATTTTAAGTCTGTTACATAAACATTCCAGATTTTGTGGTTGGACTAGATAATCTTTAAGGTCTTTTCCAACCTTAGTGATTCTATGATTCTATGATTCCATTACTGCTCAGTGAATATAAACATGAGGCAATATATTATTGTGGCTGCAGATGAGTCTCCTGATGTCCTTCACATTTATTAATTGTAAAATTAGAAGAGAACTATTATACACAAATATAACTTACAATGCTCCTGAGATCTTAAACAGTGTCATTCTCAAACTGGAAAGTTTTGGACTTTGTTTCATTGTGGTTTGGTAGGCAAGAGCTTGGGGTCTTTAGAGGTAAATAATTATCAGAATTTTGTTGAACTTTTGTTGAAGAACATGAGTTTATACTAACGCTTTACTAAATAGTAATAACCTGGTAGCTGATTTCTGAAATGAATGTCAGTCTTCTCAGTTTCACTAGGGCAAGTACAAAATAGCAGAAGTTAAAACTAGACTGTCTTGAAAGTAAAATTCAGTCAACTATAACAGTAAATTCACTTGGATTTTATTTCCTCTAGTTCTTGTCCCTATTCCATGCATGTACAGATCATAACACTACCCTAACTACCACACAGCATTGTTAAGAAAGTATATTCCTACACTATCATGAGCTAATGTGAAAATGAGATCCAGAATAAGCTCATTGAAATTATCTTTCTTCCTCCCAACTAATCTTCTATGGCCATTCTCAAAAGTTAACCAAGTTACAACTATGTTTTTGGAAATTTCCTGGCTAGATCATAATTTTTGAAAAAATTCTACCTGCATGTCCTTATTTCTTTTGTCACTTGCCAATTTTGTTTGCTAAAACCAATCTTGGAAATTTGAGGGATGTTTTTGAATAAGCTCAAGAGTTATACATTTACTCTGCAAACAGACTTGCAGCACATTAACTCAGTGGATGCAAGCTGCTTGAAAAAAAAAAAACAAGCCAGGCTGAATGCTTCCTGACTTATTAATGCAGAGCTAGCTCAAGATCTTGAAATTCCATGTGTGCTTTGCAGCTGTTTTTTACAATACCCAGCACAAAGTGAAGAAAATGCTTACTGTCCATTTAGCATGGTGTGACAATTGTACAACAACATCCTATAATCTGGGGATAAATCCAAGTAGACAGATTCACAGATGTAACTGAAAAGGACATTTGAGGATGACGTTTCATTTTGATGCTGCATGCCTACAAAATGATATGATCCAGAGAATGGAATCTGAAGTTAGAAAAATTCATGCAAAAAAATAAAGAAAGGCAACTCATGGCTGGATGTCTTCCTTAAGCTGCTGTCTAGCCCACACTGAAGTATTGGTCTTTATGCAGTAATGATTGCGTGAGGTTCATGCCATGATTGAAGTGAGAGGTCAGACTAGATGATCATAATGGTCTCTTCTGGCCTTTAAATCTATCAGTCTATGAAAACCAAATGTGAACCCATGCCCTTTGCCAAATTAACAGTCTCACGCAAAGCACTGCTTGTCTAAAATAGGAAGGTAGCACAAACAGCTAGACCTAAGCTACTACATGGGTTGAAAATACTGTCAAAATAAATTAATGTAAGTCTCTAAAGAATAAAAATGCTGAGTTGTGTACTCCTGCCTTATGTGACAGCAGAGAGAGCAACAACATCCCCGAGAACTTCTCAGTGACATTTTTCTGCTCCACAGAAAATGTCTGTTCAAAGGGTCACAACAGAAAGCTAAAGCTATTAGCTACAATGAGATTTTCCTGCTATCACTAAGTATAAGTACTCATTAACATTCTCCACTTAAGAGATTTCTTTACCTTTATGAATTTCTTTTGCTCATGGAGTGCTTTTAGAATTGTTCCTCTGAGACTGCAGCACATGCTATGACTCAAGTACTGGAACAGTCCTTTGCA